CCGTCCAATATGACTCAAACGAACGCAAGTCGTGAAGCTGCTGCAGCTATGTAGTGTAGTATGAAGCTGCTTCTTGTACAGGGACAGTTGGACTGTTGAATGTGAGTCTCGGGGCCTGATGAAATGTCCCCTGCGCTGGGCATCCGCGGTTTTCATGGAGACCTCAGTTTGGCAGGATGTGCAATGTAAAACAGACATCACTTTCGAGAGCGGACCTCCGATGGACCCGTCAGCTACGTGTGCACAGAAAAGGTTTGATCTCGGATGCCAAACCAGTCTACTGTAAGCACCTCACAGCACCATACTTTCTTCTGAGCTGGCCAGTGCACCGCCTGAGCACGCAGAGGGGATTGCAGGGCTCGGGATGTTGCTTGGCATAACTGTGGAATTGCTGTCTTGTGATCTGGGGCATTCTTGGGCTGCAGCTGTGCCCTTCAAACAATCGAAGGGACGACCTAGCCAGAGGTGCCAACATGTCCCAATTCCAGTGGTTGACGTGAGAATACAGCACACGACACCTCACAATCGAAGCCTGGCAAGGAGATGCAGAATTCCAACACATTCCAACTTTCACGCCGCTTTGACGGGCCTTTTTTCCAGCTTGACTGTGGAATGGTGAAAACAATCGTCCGCATTAGGCGGCGGTATGCCGCCAACAGCGTTGCTGGCTGCAGGTTGCCGCAATGCTTCGCTTCCGCGGAGGTCCAGCGCTGACCAGGAAAACTTCGTGCCAGCAACCTTTCTTCTATCTCAGCTCGCCCTTCTGCAAGGCGGAGGCCGTGTGAGCACAAATCCCGTTGCACCTCGAGTAGACCCGCATCAGGGACTTGCAGCCCCCGCCCAGCAAAAAGAGAAGTAAAGTTCTGCCTCAGCTTCGCAAAACTAGCAAAAGTGGAGGCATTGATCTCCATCCACTGCGTCGCGCACAGGCCCGACAGTATTAGTGCTGTGCTTCTAGCAGCATACGCAACTTCTGAAAGGACTGCTGGATGCCCTCCGACTTTCAAATGTTTCTCCGGTAGGCCTGCATAGGATACCCAGTTCTCCTTTCCCCAATATGCCACATGCTGGGCAACACGTAAGCGAGGGCAGGTATGCTGAAGTGCCACGCCTGTTAAGTGTCCATGTCGAATAGACCACACATACTCATTGCGGTGATAAGCCCACAGCACGGAGCCCATCATTGAATGGAAAGAGGGGCACTCAGAACCACCAGAGAGCACGCTTATCTTCGCCAGAAGCTGAGCGAATGCCCCATCAAAATTCTCTCTAGATGAATTGTGCTTTGGCTCGCTGCCATAAAGCCCCACAATATGGTGTCGCAGAGATCGGAAATGGCGTCTCTTTATGACCAAGGGGAAGCCGTCCATGAACTCCGCCTGGATTGGTAGCCCGAGCGCAGCTACGGTGTTAGGAAACTGTGCATTGTCTGCGTGCGCCCAAACCACAGGCCGAACGCCGTTGCTTAGCTGTTCTGCGGGTTGAAAAAGGAGCTGTGGAAGTCCGAATGTTGTTAGAACAACGTCGCTATCACACACAGCAATGAACTGGGCTCTGGAATATTTATCTGCCCAGCACTCTGACCACTCCTTCCAAACCAGTCCGCGCTGCCGCTGCACTCCTCCAAGGTGACCGAAAGGATCCACGTGGCTGAATGAGGGTTTCAAAGTTGACAAGAATGCCGGCACAGGCTGCAGAATGCACCGAACCCACTTTGGTAGCATTGAGCAGGCATGCTCATCCTGCAGGCTGTTTCCGTCCAGAACAACCACTACTCCCCAGTCAGCTGGCCAGAAGAGAGCAACAGAATGCAACAGATGCGTGAGCTCCTCTAGCTTTGCATGGTAGGTGCGCACAAACAAATCCACTGAGATGCTTGGCCTCGGCGAAGGTTCCAAACCGTCATCGGTGACTAAGTTTGGATGCAGCTGTTCCAATGTGCTCGGCGGCAGCGAGGATGAACTTGGAGTCCAGCCGCTCACCCCGGCTGCGGAAGGCGTACAACAAAGCTCATAAGTATACACAGCATCGAAACACCAGGGAGTGCCAATGCCCGCAGGCACGCAGCACATTTCAGGAGTCGTGCCCGACCAGCAATTTGTTGAGACAGCAGAGCGTGACACTGGTTCCACATCATTCCTACTAGCAAAGTAATCCAAGGCATAGCGGTGAAAGCTGTTCTGGTAAGGCTCCTGCTCAGCTACGAGGGCGTAGCGTCTGTGATACAGCTTGTGAAAGCGTAAATGTGAACCCTCATTCGGTGGATGTGGCATGTCTGCCAAGGCAGAGAGGGCCATTTGGTCCTTGCCGTCCGGGTGAGCCCAGCGCTGACCAAAGGACGCAGCATCAGTGAAGCCAACAGCTCTAACGCCTTTCGTCCCATGAGTTTTGGTGGTGTGCCAGCCCAGGCACTGCCCGGGCCTGGCAGGCAACGGCGAAGCTAACTGCAGCTGCGTGGGTCGCCCAAACGGTGAGATGCGTCGTGCATCGGAAGTGGCGGTTACCTTCCAAATTGTTCTCTCCTCCGTCTCAACATGCTCAAGCAGAACGAACAAAGGCCAGTCTTCTGACTCCAACTGTTCCTCAGCATTTTCGGTGAAGTGCGCCTTCACAGCATAGACCGACCCTGGGATCTGGAAGCAAATCCCAGCATCAAGCACAACAACGCCGCCCTGCCCACCCTCTTGCCCCTCGCCGACCGACGTCCAGGACACAAGTGGATTTCCAACTTCCAGCGCTCGCAGTCCTCGTAGTGCCTGTGCGAGCACAACCCTCAACAGCTTCGGACGAATCATTCCTCTCGTCCACCAGGCACATATATCTGCGGTGCCGCTTGCCGCAGCTCCGACGGATGGGGGGCGCAATTGCAAGGCTTTTATTGCACTTGATGCGCTTGAGCAAGGCCTGGTCTGGCGGCACTGGCCGCATATGGCCGCATCGTCGCTTGTTTGGACAAAAGACGCAACAACCGACTCTGCAGGTCTCGTGCAGAAACAAAAAGCTGTGCTTGGGTAGAGGTCTCAAGGCAGTCTTACAAACAGGACATCGTGAAGTTGGGCGAGGTTGCACACATATGAAGACGATGTTTACAGAAGCAAAATGTTCTAGCATGTCCGACATGATGACACAAGTTGGGCTCGTCGTCCTTGCAAGTGACCCTTGCACCTGTTCAGAACGCATAGACGAGTATATCGAGTATGTATATGTTGAGGGCCTCCCTATGACTCGTTCAGTGCCTTGCTGCAAACATATCTTCATGCATTACTAGTACTTCAACAATTCCGGTGCTAGGTTGGCATAAGAACACAGCAGAGTGCAGATTGCACACGCCCATCAGGAATAGGCTGGGGTTTGGATTTCTGGAACGGTTGACAAGCATAGGAACAACGACTGCC